GTAAAAGTAGTTAACTGTCTGGTCACCGGGACAAGTGTTCAGTTTTACTGGCACCGAACATCCTTTGAAATCATTGGGTTCCAAAAGCCCAGCGCCCTTGCCTGGCCCAGCAGCTGCTCTGCTGAGCAAGACACTGACAGAGGTCATCGTCACTGTGCTAAGCAGACAGATGCCCAGGGTGGGGTTCTGGGCAGGGAAAAACATCCCCAGTGGAATGTCACCATGGCCAGGCAATCGGCCCTTAGCACAGGAAAATGCCCACTGTAATACATTTGGAAATTATTTTACTTTTAGTAATGATTGCAGCCAGAATTAAAACTTCGATGATAGCTTACTCTAGAACAGGCTCTTAGCACATCTGTGGAACAGGCAGCAAACAAATTTCACAGTGACGGATGGGGACATTGGAAGAGGGGAGGCAAAGGCAGTGGAGATACATCCTTTAAAAGCAGTAGGAGTTCAGAAATCACAGTATTTTACAATTCTTCATATATTTTGCAAGAAAAGTTAAAAATGTCATTAACGTACTTTTTAGTGTTCAAAGGTAATAGGAAACACATTTCTGATACTGTAAAATCTTAGTAAACATCAAGGTGATAGATAAAAATGATGCCTTTAAATTGTATAGACTGCAACTAAGTTTGAATAATCTCCTTGAAGGGGAAAAATGTGTGGTACGCTAAAATTATCCCCAAATATGGTACCTAGCCTTGCGAGATGATGAAAAAAAAAAGCTGAAGATTGTAAACGCATGTGATGTTCTTTTGTGCAAACTAGAGTGTATCCTCAGAGACCCTATGCAAAAAAGCAGTAAACACCATTTATACAGTCATTGAATTGGCTGTCAGGGACCTCATGGGCCCATTACCACAGTGGTATGCGTCATTCCTGCCCGAAACCACATTGCCAAAGATATTGATACAAATTTGACCTTTAGCCATTCAGTTCTGAACTGCATCCTGGGCTCTCTGATTCACTATTTCCTTTTCCCTCTTAGGAGCACTCTTAGTGTTGCCTGGATCCTGCAATCGAAAGCTGAGCAGAAGGAATTAGGTCTGGAGGAGGAGGAAAGCAGGTAAAGAAGAGACTGAAAGTCAGCTAGCAAATTCTGAGGACTCAGCCTGCCAGAGTGGAAGCTCGGGTGTGGGCCAGCGCTCCTGCAAGGCTGCATTGCCCGGTTTTTCCACTTTTGCATTTTCCTGAAGTGAATTGCAGTGTCTGAGAGAAGATGCAAGCTGCTGTATCATCAACAGGAGGCAGTTAGAAAGGAGTCTAGTCCCCACCTGTGACTTCCCTCATCTCACTTCCTTGTCCCCTGATAACCAATGACCTGGGAGGCTGCTCTGCTTAGGGCTCATGAGTGCTGTCAAATTCGAGTATTTATTCCTCTACAATTTTAGAGTGAGTTGTCAATGTGGTTTTTCAAGAGGGGCATATCAGAAAAAGATTGCCCTGACTTCCTTCATACTTATCCTTATCTAACGTAGCTGGAAACCCTTTTAAAAGACAAGTTGCTAGCTTGAGAAAACAATGAGTCTAAAAGAATCTTGGCTAAATGTACTGGAAAAAATATATTAAATGGGTATGTCCAAACCATATCAACACACACACACACCCGAAAAAAGAACTTTAAACAAAGTTAAGTCATAGATGCTATTTAAATCAAAACTCCTGCTCCATTCTTAGTGGGATATGTGCTTTTAAAATCAATTCTCTCTCAAATTGTAGTCCCTGGTTGACTCGGTATTGAATCACCTGGGTGTTGTTTAAAAGTTGAGATTTCAACCCCATGCCTCAGAGATACGGACCCAGAATCTCTGAATCTGGGGTTCTGGAGTTACCTTCAGGAAACATCCAAGGTGTTTCCTATTCTTTGCTGAGAAGAGGGAAAAAAGAAAAAGAAAAAGGGAACCGATAAGCTAAAAAAATTTGAGGAGCAGAATAACTGATATTAGGAAACCTGGATGAGGGCCTTATTTTATGTGATCGTTCTATATAACCTGATCAAGACAGCCACACATTTTGGTCTGTCCTTTTTCACATAGATACAGATAAAAGGCAATCAAGGCACTTTCCTACTGTCTTTATTAGTTGTGCATCTTGCCTATTTAAGTCAAACCAAGGTCTGTGTAAGGTTCATTTCTTCTCTAGATAAATTCAGATAATGGGGTTTAAGGAGACTTAGACAAAGACATTCTAAGCATTTTCTTGCTAGCTGTACCTGGAAATTCCTACCTGTCTATTTATTTATCCACTGTTCTTTCAATATATTCTTAGGGTTTTCCTCCTGTGTGGTTGGCTCTCCTGGACTTAGGGTGTGGCCTAACTTCTCAAACCAAAAGTTAGAGCAGCTCCACATATCAGCATGCAAGGAGAGCTGTGTAATAAATTGGGCATATGTGGGCACAGTAGAAAAACTGGGTTTTGACTGTTATTCTGACCTTATTAGAATGTTTTTCTTTTAAAAGTTTTCTTTAAACTGCAGTTAAAATAAATAATATGAGAAAGGCCTGCATAATCACAGAGGATGTCTGTGATAATTCTAAAGGAAGAAAGCAATATAACTGCAAGTATTATTTTGACATATATAATAAGGTGGCCCTATATGTTTAAGCCCAAGCTTTCTGTTCAACTGACTACTTGTTCTCTTTTGGGGTTTATTGTAAAATACATTTATTCATGGACATGAATATGCTATGGAACCTATATAAGTGGCACGCATGTTGCTTTTTTTAAAAAAAAAGTACAGTGATCCCTTTGAACCTTCAAAAGATGTTTATAAAAGCTCAGCATGCTTGTCCTTGTGATTTCTTTTTCTGGAATATAAATTTCATGATATGACATGCAAAATTATAAATAAAAGTTACCATAAGAAAATGTAGGTGTGCATAATATCCTTGCCTTCACAAAGACCAGGCATTTGCTTAACTTTTTAAAACTCAAAATAAACACCAGGAACGTATCCCCTACAGCTTTTGAAATGGTTTTAGTAATTCACAAATGAAATTGACATTTATAGGACAATCCTTGTATTCAGATGTCATTCTCCATTCATTGTCACATGGGGTTATACACATTCCTGCTTGGGGTCACTATGGCTAGAGTCTTTACTCTTAGTCAACATTAATTATGTGTAACATACTTAAAAAGATTTCATTAGCAATTGTGAGCATCTTTTAAACAAACCATTGAGCTCATTCATGTCTAAATTTTTAGGTTTCTTGCCCAAGTATAATATTGTCATGTCTAGAAACTATGGGTAGAGTTGGCTACATAATCTTTGAAGTGTCATGGAAAATGAAAATTCAGGGAAACTTATTCAAAAACTATAATGAGTTTTAAGGTGGTGACAACAGAACATTCAACCAAGTGTGGATTCTTCTCAGAGTGGAACTCCATACAAGTGCACAGGTTACAGCTGGCTCAACCGATAGCATCTTTTGAACAAGACAACTATGATTTTCTAATTAGATGAAAAAACACTTCAAGGCCAATTAATTCTATTGACTTTGCTGATTTAAGCTACGTGAAGAAATATACACATTAGATGATGTACTTGCAAAAGAATCATAGACAGGATAGCTGCAGATGATTGTAATTGTTAATCGGTTGAGATCTCAAAACTGCAGACAGATAAATGTGTAGAATAGGCAAAAGGGGTGGAAACTGGGGGGGAAAGAGTAGTCTATGCAAAGAGGCATCAAGCTTTCTGATGTACCTTTGAGCAGGTGTAGAGCACCTAGACACGATGGCTGTGCTTAGCTGTGTGCTTATGGTGACATCATGTTTCAGAAGGTGTAAGTGCAACTCTGTATGGCAATGAGGACATGTCAGAGCACAGGAATATCAGTCAGTTGTTCCACACCGGAATAGGAGTGTGCCTGAGTCTTTTTACTCTGGGATCTCCTACCTGCAAGGGCGGGGGGTGGAGTGTCCCTTCCTCCTGGAGCTTGGGAGAGTACAAGGCTCTATTGCAGGTAGAGCATTATCAAAGCCTCCTGTCTTTCCCTGGCACTATGCTGAGTGGAAAGGGAGAACTTGTGCAGGAGTCCTGGAAAAGATGACAAGAGTTGATGCAGTGGCATTTTCAAAGCTATCATGGCCAAATCAAGAGGCTTGGGGCAAATCCCGGGGAATGAAAGAGTTTACGGAAGAATTCTGTTTTCAATAATTCACTCACTCTGGGCGTGTAATGCTTAGTAGAAAAACAGACACCTGAGGAAACGAGGTGTGTGGATCTCAATGAGGCTGTTAGCTCAGGGTGTTTCCAGGTAATGATGATAATGAGGGAAGGACGGGAGAGAAGGCAGGAGGAAAGGAGGAGGGGGTGAAGGAATGGAAGAAGGAATGGGGAGGACGGACTGGAGGGTGAGGGAAGGAAGGAAGACACGGAGCTGGGCAGGAGGAGAAACCATGTTAGGGGCACTGTCCCGCGAGTGTCCACGGCCCTGGCCACCCCCTCTCGACGTACACGTTTATTTCAGTTTCTCACGTCTTTTCCCCTACTTGGGCAAAGGGACGCTCAGATATGAGAAAAGCCTGGGCCCGAGGCAGAAACTGGGGAGACAGCAGACAACTTGGGGGCGCTGGGTCCTTGCTCAGGCAGTTCCGACGCCTCTGGGGGTCCCGACGCCCGCCTCCCTCTTCCCGAGAGAGCGCTTCTCCTCGCCGGCCCGGGCCTGCTCACACCTGCCTCCCACCCGGACTGACGGGAGGGCTGCAGGTGCGGAAGGTGTTGGCGCGGACCGCGGAGGGGCCCGCCGGGAGTCCCACCCTCCCGAGAGCCGCGCGGCGCGGGGGACCGCTGGCGTCGCCCTCCCCGGAGCGCCCGGGCGCGCGGCGGGGCGGACCTGCCCACTGGCCCTGCGCCCGGCCCCCCTGTCACTCACGCTGCTCCCAGCCAATGGCGCGGCCTCCTGTCACCCTCACCCCACCCCTCGGGGGAGAGCGGGGGGGAGGTCGGCGGGGCGGGCTGCGGCCGGAGTTGAATGATTGAACTTTCCGGCGGAGTTGCGGCGGCCGCGAGGTGCCCAGCAGTGCGGCCCCGGCGCGGAGCTGGGAGCCTCGGCCAGCGCCCGGCGCCCGCGCCCGCGACCCGCAGCCATGGTGCCCCGGGCGCCCGGCGCGGCCCTGACCCTCTGCCTGTGGCTGGCGGCCTCCGGGGGCTGCCTGGCCGCCGGCCCCGGCGCGGCTGCGGCGCGGCGGCTGGACGAGTCGCTGTCTGCCGGGAGCGTCCAGCGCGCCCGCTGCGCCTCCAGGTGCCTGAGCCTGCAGATCACGCGCATCTCCGCCTTCTTCCAGCACTTCCAGGTACGCGGGGCGCCCGCCCGCCCGCCCGGTCCTCTCCGCGCCGCGGCGCCCCAACTTCTCGCCCGGCTCCGCGGGCGGATCCGGCTTTCCCTCCGCGTGGGTCTTACAGTCGGGGCGCCCCAGCCCTTTCCAGCCCCTCCCGGCTCGCCGAACGACGGGAAGCCTCAGCATCTTTCCCCGCGCACCCCTTCCCAGCGGAAAACGACACGCGATTTCCTCTGGGAGGGAGAGCAGTTTTGTGGGTGCCGAGGGTGGGGCCGTGGGTTTGTTAGTTTCCCAGGACTTGAGCGCGCGACACTCCCGGCCCGGGCGAGTCCCGCAAACTCCCGGGCGCTCCGGGGCCCTCGGAGCCGCTGGCGCGGGGAGGGGAGTCCAGGAGGTGCGCCCGGCTGCGCCCGGGCACCCGCGCGATGTCCCCCGGACCTGCGCGACGTCCACCAGCCCCGCAGGTGCCGGCGGGCCGACACTTTTGTCTCCTTTGAGCTGTGGCTTGCACATTGGGCGGGCCTGGAGCTCACTGCCCACCCACCCTTGGAGCCCCCAGCCAGGGCACTTGGGCCAAGTCGTGTGTTCCAGGATGTGTGTTTGTGTGTGTGTGTGTGTGTGTGTGTGTGTTGGGGGGGCGCGGTGCGCACCTCAGTCGGAGTCACAAAGATTCAAGGTCTTGCTCAAGACTAGCGCAGAGCGTAAGGAAGAAATGCTGGGGTTGGGGGATTTGGCGACGCAGTGTTTGGATGCTCCGGGGGCGTGTGCCGGGGTCTCCCCTAACCCAGTGGGTTCTTTCAGCTAGAGGGTGGAGCAGGTTTGCGTGCGTGTAGGAGGCTCAGGGAGCCGCACGCTTGGCGCCTGTGGATTGCTGGGACCCTGCACCGTGGCGAGGACCCCCGTGAGACCTGCGCGCGGAGACTCCGGGTCCGGGTGGGCGCGGGAGCAGCTCCCAGACTCCGCGGCGCGCGTCCCGCGGCTGCCTGCCCCAGCCCAGGCGAGCACGCTAGCTCTGAGATCATGCACCCAGGCACCTTGTTTCTCCTCTGCCATGCTCCCCTCCCTCTCCTTCTCGCCTCTATCCTTAGGTGCCCACCTGTTCCAGTTCCCAACTTCTCGCCCCAGGGAAAAGTGCGGAGGTGTACGGGGACGCGGGGCCCCCTGGCTGGGCCGGGGTTGGGATCCCAGCCCTCCGCTCGGGAACAAACTGGGCGCCCCCGCCCCACGCCGGGCGGGGAAATGGGGGGCTCCCGAGGGGCCCAGGGAATTGAGCTGCCCGAGCAGGCGAGGTTAGCGACGGCAAAGTGGGGGGTGATTCTCCGCAGCCCCTGGGCATGTTCTTCCCGGCGGGCAAGCTAATGAGTGAGGCGCACAAGGAGAGCTCAAAGTCGGGATCTTCAGAGCTCGTGCCTCTGGTGCAGTTGGCTAGTGCGGAGTGTGTAGTTTTGTTTGTCCTAAGTCAAAGAAGCAACGTCGCAGGGTGGGGAACGTGTGGCCGCAGGGGCACGCAGGGCCCTTCGGATCCCCGAGGGCTGCCCCTGGAAGGAATCCAGACTCCACGGAATAAAGAGATGTGTTCTGTGAAGTCTGTGTTCAGTCATGAGGCTGCACTCAAGGATCCAGAAGGCTCCATGTGGCCCCAAGGCGGCAGGTTCCTTGTGGGTGTCAGAACCACAAGCTCTGCGGTCCTCTGGGACTTCAGGGATAGGAAAAACCCGAGCGCTCACCTCCCTCCTGCGGTGACATTACCTGGACATCCTGGAGACAGACCCAGGAGGGGCCCAGTTCCCAGGCACCTGGCATCAAAACCACCCCGCCCTACGCCGAAAGCCACCCTCCTGAGAAGATGCTACACTATTGTTTCAACAACAGAAACCAAAACAAAACAGTCCAGTCCATTCCCGGGGAGGAAGAGTATCATTTTTTCCCCCTCTTCTTTTTTCTTTTTATTGAATTGTCAGTTGCTGTGATTTATTTGTTTTACAGTTTCAGCGTCTAAAGAAGCAGTTTAGACCAAGCCAATTCCCGTGAAAGGCTTTTCTTGTGGTCTCTGGCATGATTTCTCTTCCTAAGAAAAAACTGCTGACAGAATGCACATTGCCAGACAATCCCGATTACATTTTAATTAGCTGGGGGTGAAACAAGTTGCAAATTACTCAGTTAGGCTTGATAACTGCTGTGTTTGTAATCAATTGCAAAGCCACTCTGGGAGGTTTAACCCTCACCTGATAATGCCTATCTGATTTATCCAAATCGCAGGGATTAAGCTTTCTTAAGACCTGAAAAGACAGAAACATCCTCTCCATATACAAGCCCAAGCATCCCCGTCCCCCACCTCCTGCCTTTAAAATAATAATAATTAGAAGGACAGGGGAGCAATCAGTTTGCAGCCAACTCATGGCACTGCATGTGGTGGTTATTAATTTGTCTATGAAGGTCTAGAGGCAGGCTTAGGAAGGGCCCCTTCTGTCAGGGTCACCCCGCCTTCGAGGTCCTCAAGTGAGCCCACACAAAAGGCTGCTTCAGGAGCAGGTGCCTGTTCACATCTTCCTTGCAGAACTCCGGGCCTCTTTTTAAGGGATGCCAGCCTGGTGTGTGGACCCTGGAGTGGTGAGAAAGCTGCCAGGCCTTTGCACGGAAGAACCTCACCTCTGCACTCCCGGTGCAAGCAGTGACTCGGAGCCCTGATGGGCAGTGACCTGCAGAGGAGGCTGGAATGTGACCATGTCCAGCCCCAGTCTCCCCAGTGTCCTCCACTGCCCAGCCCTGCAGCACCTATGTGGCAAAGCTGCAGGTAGATGTGCACACCTGGCAGCTCCAGGTGTGTGGGCTGGTTCTGCTCCACCCGCTCGCGGTGGCAGCCAGCCATGGTCCCAGACACCAGGGACTCCATACTGATTCGAGGGGGTGGGAAAGGGGCCGGAGGATACCTGCATTACCTAACACTGCCCCTGACCTGGAAGAGCTTAGAGCATCCTAGTGAAAGGCAGAGGAGTTCCGAACCCCATCAATTGACTACTGAATGCCGCCCTTCCTTCATGAAAAGAAACAGTGCACGTTAGCACCTCCCAAAATATTGGTACCCAGCTCTGTGATGCTTTGTTCAGGGCATTTGGCGTGTAGCATCTCAAGTTCATGAACATTATTCATGTGTGTGGTTAAAATCCTGCCAAATGACGTGACTGGGGAGGATATCCTTTTTTTTTTTTTTTTTTCTTTTACCCAGCAGAATGAGGTTGTGGGGTATGGAGCCGGGAGGGGGGCTTTGGAGCCGGGCAGTTCTGTCTTGCATCCAGGCCTGGCTGCCGGCAGATAGGTAGCTTGGGTGGATCACACCGCCTTCCTGAATGTCGCCCCCCACGTGCTGAGTGGGAGATGAGTACCTGCCCTGCAAGGTGAAGTTGGCCCTAAAACACGTTGGGAGTGACACAGGTGATGGTAATAAAGTCTCCAACTCTACCCAGAAGGTTGCTAAGTACAGACAGTCTTCTAGCAGTTTTGCAAGTACTGTCTCATTTAATGCCCACAACACCCATGCGAGGCAGGTACTGTTTTTGTCCTCTCGTCATAGATAAGAGAAAGAGGTCCTGAGAAAGCCAGTCAGCCGCACAGCTACGTGGCGGTGGAGCTGGCTTCCCGGTGATGGTGGCTTCCAGTGTTTGGCTTTGTTTCTGCTTTTAGGACTTTATTGGTCGGTTGATCAGTTTACTTCCTAATTTTCAGGGCCTGGTGAAAAATACTAACACGAATCCTCTTATTCGAATAGCACACACAAAAAAGTGTTTGTTAAAGGAACTGAAATATGAACTTTTCCCTTTCTCTGGTGGCCTGCTTCTTTTGACTTGTCATGGTGTTTTCAATTTGCTTTTCTATATTGTTCTCAAAGGAAAATTTAAATATTAAATGATTAGTGTGACATTTAACTCTTTATATTGTGCAGTGCCCATTTTACTTGCAAATATCGGAGCATTTTATCCCTGGAGGGATCCTCCAGATGGTCAGAAAGGACCAAAACAGCAGACTCAGGGTTGTTGCAAGGAGACAGAGAAGGATCCCCCAGGACTTTGGGGTGTGCCTGGTGGGGTGTGTCCCCTAGGAATGGCCCAACCAGCATAAGGCATGAAGTTGCTCTCCAGTTAAACGAGTCGCCTAAAAACAGACCAGGCTTATCTCAGACAGATTCTCCCTCCTTTCCTTCTTCTTTCGTCTTCTGGTGATGCCGAGAACACGGGAGTAGAGCGGTTTCTTCCCAAGCGAGCATACGTCAGCATCATACCCTTTTAACACTACAGACGCCCGATGAAGAACTGCCACACTGCATAGGCTTAAAGCTTGCAAGGTCCTGCTCCTTTGCTACACAAAACACACGCACCAGAGCCGGCTCTGTGGGTGTGTGACTCCGTGCTCAGAGACAACCTGCACTCAGGGTTTCATGCTCTGCAGTTGCCATACTGGAATTCTTCCAGTTTGCGTTTTGCATGTGAGAGTTGGATGGGACAGGTGTGACAGTTGGATGACACACTCACACGTGCATCGGAGGCCTGGAGCCTCAGCTGATGAGTGATCCTGCCTCCTACCGCCCCCTCACCTCTCCAGGACAGGTTCTTGTTGCCTGTTCCCCCATACCCTGGCACCCCAGCCTCCACCTGCCTCCTCTTTCTTATTGCCCATCCCATGATAGCTGCCAGCTCTGCCCATGTGGGGAGGGTCTGGTGGGACATGCATGCCCTGCACTGCCCTGGGGCACGGTGCTGTCTCGTAGCACCATGGCGTGTCTGGTGGTTGGCCAGGCTCCTAGCATGTCCATGAGCTGGCTGCAATACCCTTGGGGATGCCCACATGCTGCAGGTGGGAACAGCTAGATGCAGGAAGGGGAGGTACTGGGCCCAACTTCTTGAGAACTTGCACCAGGACAGAGTACAATGCCTCGGTCCAGCAGCGGGCAGAGGAGGTGATCTGGCCACAGCGTGCCTGAGCTAGTGGTAGCAGCTCATTCTGGGACCTGCTCATTCTCT